AAACCAAAGACGGAACAACCTCTATCTTCAAATGCAGTCACATTTTGGAGGTTCTGGGGATTCGAAGGTCAGTACCCACATTTGGAGGGAGCGTACAACTCTGCTGTTAGGTAGAAGAAGGCAAAGGATCCCACGGGGTGAGGGCCCTGCCATCTTGTGGAACTTTGCTGCCATTCTGAGCCCAGGACAAGAGCCACGTGGAAACGTTTGCTGGGGTTACCCAGTGGTCACCTGTGGCCCTGGTGATGGTGCTTGCCTCCCAGTTCTGAGTCAAGGAGGCGGGACACCGAGCTCGCCTGACAGGCTTCAGGGTGCTGATGCTGAGAACATGATAGGCACATTCACCTCTGCTGACCTGGGAGCCAGTCCCAAGTCTGCCCCCTGCTGGCCAAGGGGCTTCTTAGCTCAATGAACTCTGCCTACCTTTCCTCTGTAGTTGCAGAGATAATGAATTTGCCAACTGGAGAGTAATTTAAGGATTAAGTAAATATTTGGTGAAGTATTTACCACAGTTCCTGGCACATAGTAAGACTGGGAAGATTTTTTGAAAACAAGTTGTGATGTGGTCATTTGATTGTCCCAACAGCTACTCTGTGTGTGTGTGTGTGTGTGTGTGTGTGTGTGTGTGTGTGTGTGTGTGTGTGTGTGTGAACTCTGAAATTCAAAGTCTACCTCTGGTTTTTCACTCTTTCACTCTCTGCTGGCACTCTACTCTGTGAACCATACTTCCACCTCTGGCTGTTCGGTTGATTATGTGGATGTTAAGAGTCTTTCCAGTTTGTCTGCTCAGAACCTCGATTCTCAGATCTCATTCCTCTGATTAGAATTACTTGATTTTAAGGTGCTGGAAGCACCAGAAAACCAGAAGTGGCACTGTGGCTCAAAGTGGTAAAGCCCTAGACATGAGCAAATAACCTTAGGGGCAGCATGCAGACCCTGAGTTCAAGCCTCATGGCCAACATAAATAAAAAACAAATAGAAAAATTAGAGGAAAAAAGGTGGAAAAGTGCAGCAGTGGATCTCACTGGACACTAGTGAAAGTGAACTATACACCTTTATAATAATAATAAAATAAATAATTTTTAAAAGAAAAGCTGGGTGCCGGTGGTTCATGCCTGTAATCCTAGCTACTCAGGAGGCTGAGATCTGAGGATTGCAGTTCAAAGCCAGCTGGGGCAGGAAAGCCTGTGAGACTCTTATCTCCAATAAAGCACTAGAAAACCGAAAGTGGCGCTGTGACTCAAGCAGTAGAGCGCTCGCCTTGAGCTGAAGAGCACAGGGACAGCACCCAAGCCCAGAGTTCAAGCCCCACAACTGACAAAAAACCAACAAACAAACAAAGAAAAAAAATTCAAATGAAAGGACAGGGATGTAGTTCAGTGGTAGAGTGATTGCCTAGCATGTCAAATGCCCTGGTTTTGATCTCCAGCATCTCTTTCTCTCTTTTTTTTTTTGGGGGGGGGATCCGGTCGTGGGGCCTGAACTCTGGGCCTGGGTGCTGTCCCTCACTTTTATTAGCTCAAGGCTAGCACTCTACCACTTGAGCCACAGTGCCACTTATGGCTTTTTTTTTTTGTCGGTCGTGAGGCTTGAACTCTGGGCCTGGGCGCCGTCCCTCAGCTCTTCAGCTCAAGGCAAGCGCTCTACCACTTGAGCTACAGCGCCACTTCCGGTTTTCTGGTGGTTTATTGGAGATAGGAGTCTCACGGTCTCTCCAGCCCGGGAGTAGCTAGGATTACAGGCATGAGCCACCAGCGCCCGGCCACTTATGGCTTTTTTTTTCTGCTTATGTGGTGCTGAGGAATCGAACCCAGGGCCTCATGCAAGCAAGGCAAGCGCTCTACCACTGAGCCACCTTCCCAGCCCCCTCCTCTCTTTCTCTGTCTCTGTCTCTCTCTCTCTCTCACACACACACACATACCATCAACTATCACACACATCAAGTGCCCTCTAGTTCTATGGAGCTCACAATTAATATTTGGATGATTTTCAGTGTTTCCAATATAATGTTGGACCCCAAGATAAAACAGCCCCGGGAAAGGCAGTGATAACTAATGACTCGTGTTCTTTTCCATTGAATATCTTGTGGGGTGGCAGCAACCGGACAGCTCTTGGGTTGGGGTAACAATGCTGTTTACCCTAGACTTGGGTGGGGCTCAGACTCAACTAAATGAAGGAACTGAATGCCAGGCTCTCCTAAAGTGCCACAGAATTAGCACTAGGGGGCAGCAGAGAGTTAGACCAGCCTTTTCTGCTCAAGGCTGGCGCTCTACTGCTTGAGCCACATCTCCACTTCCCGATTTTTGCTGGTTAATTGGAGGTAAGAGTCTCGTGGACTTTACTGCCTGGGCTAGCTGCAAACGGCAATCCTCAGATCTCAGCCTCCTGATAGCTAGGATTATAGCTGTGGGCCACCAACGCCCAGCCTTTCCTGCTTGTAGATTAAGACTTCAGAAGAACAATCCAGGCTGAAATTTAGTCTGCTTTGTCCAGTTAGGGTTTTCCAAACTGGATTCACTTATCAGTATCCCATTCAGAAAGGGCTCTGGCAGAAGATATTTGGTGTCCCCCCCAAACACGGTGGAGAACCCTCTGTGAGGGGACCTCAATGTTTCAAATCTCCCAAAGAACTTCCTGGGTGATTGAAAGTTCTAGATCTTGGGGCTGGGAAGGTGGCTCAGTGGTTGAGTGCTTGCCCGCATGCATAAGACCCTGGGTTCGATTCCTCAGCACCACATAAACAGAAAAAGCCAGAAGTGGCGCTGTGGTTCAAGTGGTAGAGTGCTAGCCTTGAGCACAGAGAGGCACAGGGACAGTGCCCAGGCCCTGAGTTCAAGCCCCAGGACTGGCCAAAAAAAAAAAAAAAAAGATAGATAGGAAGAGACAGGGTGGGGGGAGGGAGAAGGAGAGGAGGAGGGAGAGGAAGAGAGACAGAGGGAGAAAGAGAAAGAGGGAAAGTTCTAGGTCTTTTTTTTTTTGGGGGGGGTCTGGTCATGGGGCTTGAACTCTGGGCCTGGGAGCTGTCCCTCAGCTCTTCAGCTCAAGGCTAGCGCTCTACCACTTGAGCCACAGCACCACTTCCGGCTTTTTTTCTTTTTGCTTATGTGGTGCTGAGGAATTGAACTCAGGGCCTCATGCATGCAAGGCAAGCGCTCTACCACTGAGCCACCTTCCCAGCCTGAAAGTTCTAGATCTTGTCTGGGCTTGGTGGTTATACAAATGTTCACATTTCTCGGGGGCTGAGGGTTTAGCTCAGCGGAAGGGCACCCACCTGGCTAGCGCAAGGCCCTGGGTTCAGTCCTCAGCTCTGGGAAAAAAAAAAAAAGCTATAAAGACAAATGTTCACATTTCTCAAAACCCTTCCCCCTTTGCAGGACCGGGGCTTCTGTGGAAGGCAGGACATGGAGGCTGGAGACAGTCTGGGAGGCACATTGTCCACAAGGGCCATCCTGGAGGCCCTGGGGGGCCCAGATGAAGGCCAGCCGCCCCTTGTAGATGGGGGCTGAGAGAGCACTGAGCCGCAAGGCAGAGCCCAGCAGCCGTCGCTCCCCACTCCACGGTCTGGCACCCAGTGACCCCAGCTATAGCTCCGGCCAGCTTCTCCATCCGGAGATGCTGAGCACATCTGCAAATGAGCGCCAGGCCGCAGGGCTGCGTGACAGAGCGTGGTGACGCTCCCACTGAGGGGCTGTTTTTGCAAGCACAGTTCTACCTTCAGTCTCGCTGAGGGCCTCGGCAGCTATTTAAGGCCTCCTGCAGGCCCCAGACACGCCTGGAGGAACGGAGTTCCTGAACCCTCAGGCAGCTCTGCCATAGTGAGTTAGAGCTGCTGGCAGGTGGAGCTAGGGACCTCAGCGGGGACTTTGGGAATGAGGGCTGGGCTGGGGAAATGGGGAGGTGGGGAGCCAGTGTGGTGGGGGGGGGCTGATGCACCTCTTTGTTTTAGAGATGGGGAGGTGTGGCGTCTCAGTTCAGCACCTCATTCTGGGGGTGTCTGGATGACCCTAGGAATCCTATTTGCATCACACACACACACACACATTTCTGAGTGGTTAAAGAGGAATTTCATTTAACTTGCAAATGTGTTCTAATAATTGAAGCACATTTTTGCATTGTTGAAAAGGCAAATGCCAACTCTGGGCCTCCTGCCTGCTCAGCAAGGGCTCTGCGCTTGAGCCATGGCCCCAGAAAAGGGCAAATGATGTTTAAAAATGATCAGAAATTTGAAAGGTCAATTTGGTGACTATGTGTTTTCAAGTTCAGGATCATTTTTTAATTTTGTTGCTGGTCCTGGGGCTTGAAGTCAGGGCCTAAGCGCTGTACCTGAGTTTCTTTTCCTCAAGGCTAGTACTCTATCACTTGAGCCACGGCTCCACTTCCAGTGTTTTTTGGTAGTTGAGTGGAGGTAAGTCTTATGGAGTCCCCTGCCCAGCTGGCTTTGAACCATCATCCTCACATCTCAGCCTCCAGACTAGCTAGGATTACAGATGTGAGCCTCTGGCAGCAGGCTAGGATTTTGTTGTTATTATTGTTGTTGTTGTCAGTTGTGGGGCTTGAACTCTGGGCATGGGCACTGTCTCTCAGCTCTTCAGCTCAAGGCGAGCGCTTTACCACTTGAGCCACAGCATCACTTCCAGTTTTCTGGTGATTTATTGGAGATAAGAGTCTCATGGAGTTTCCTGCCAGGGCTAGCTTTGAACAGTGATCCTGAGTAGCTAGAATTACAGGCATGAGCCACCAGCACCTGGCTCTTTTTTTTTTTTTAATGTGCTGTATTTTTCATTTTATTTATTTTTTGCCAGTCCTGGGGCTTGGGCACTCTTCCTGAGCTTCCTTTCCACAAGGATAGGACTCTACCATGAGCCACAGCGCCATTTCTGGCCTTTTCTGTGTATGTAGTACTGAGGAATGGAACCCAGGGCTTCATGAATGCTAGACAAGCACTCTTACCACTAAGCCACCTTCCCAGCCCATTGTTTTGCACTGGGTTTTATATTTACCAAGTATTTCTCCCTCCTCAAATCAAATGGAGCCTTCTCGCTTCGGTGTGAACGCTGCAGGTCTCTTTGCTTGCATTCATCTCTTCGGTTCATCAGGAAAGTAGGAGGCCGGCCTAGGGTTTTCCAGATACAGAACCAATCACCCGAGGACCCTGTGCGCCTCACCCTCCACTGCCCCTCTCTGTGCCCAAGGGCAGTCTCTGCGTTCTCTGGGGAACCCAGGCTAGGCCGCAGTCACGCCCCCAAGTCCATCCTGTGGTGTGAGAGCCAGCGCTCACACCAGACTTGCAGTGTGCGGACTGGGCTCACACAGCATCCGTGCAGTGCCCACAGCCAGGCTTTCCCTGGGAGATCTCATGCAAATAACCCGAGCACTCCCCAGAGCTCTTCCTGGCCTCCTGCCTCCCATGGGCTGTACCCCAAGGGAGCCCTGACCTTCAACTACCTCCCTGTGCAGGTCTGGGGCCTGCTGCTCACCCCACCTCCTGCCTCACCTCTCCCTCCCGCCTCACCTCTCCCTCCTGCGCTCCGGGGGAACTGGGGGAACTTCAGAGTCCTCACCCCTAACCCAGCCTCTGCTTTTCCCCCACCCCCTTTCCACAAAGACCCTCATGGCCCGGACGCTCTCCTTACAAGGCAGGGGAGCAAGAGACTTGGAAACCTGAGAATGCTTTTGGGGGCTCAGCCCCACCTGTGGGACTCATTAACCTGTTTCTTCCGAACAAATCTAATGCAGCTCCTTAGACCATCTGCTCGTGCAGCCTTGAGTTCTTTGGGGCTTTTTCTTTTTCTCCCCTCCCCTCCTTGTCCTGGGGCTTGAATTCCCAGCCTGGGCACTGTCCCTGAGCTTTTTGTTTGTTTGTGCGGTTGGTTGTAGGGCTTGAACTCTAGGCCTGGGTGCTGTCCCTGAGCTCTTCAGCTCAAGGTGAGCAATCTACTACTTGAGCCACAGCGCCACTTCCGGTTTTCTGGTGGTTTATTGGAGATAAGAGTTTCACAGACTTTCCTGTCCAGGTTGGTTTTGAACCGCCATCCTCAGATCTCAGCCTCCTGCATAGCTAGGATTGCAGGCGTGAGCCACTGGCACCTGACTTCCCTGAGCTTTTTGTCAGGGCTAGCACTCTACCACTTGAGCCACAGCTCCACTAGTGGGTTTTTTTTTTTTTTTTGGATCCGGTCGTGGGACCTGAACTCTGGGCCTGGGCACTGTCCCTCAGTTCTTCAGCTCAAGGCTAGCGCTCTACCACTTGAGCCACAGCGCCACTTCTGGCTTTTTTCTCTTTGCTTATGTGGTGCTGAGGAATCGAACCCAGGGCCTCTGGCATGCACTCTACCACTGAGCCAGCCCCCCCCCCTTTTTTTTTTTTTATGTTTCATGGAAGATAAAGAGTTTCACAGACTTTCCTGCCAGGGATGACTTCAAACTGTGATCCTCAGATCTCAGCCTCCAGATTACAGGCGTGAGCCACTGGTGTCTTGCTCAGTTCTTGAACATCTAGAAGGCAGGAAAATCAGGAAGAGAACAGGAGTCCCAGCTCAGAACACTGGTGTCTACAGAGGCCCCAGGGGCTGCCAGGCCCATAACCTGGACTTTCAAGGACTTTCCCACAGCCCTGCAGGGGCCTCAGTAGCAGGCCTGGCCGGGCAGCGTGCACTGCTGCACTAGGAGGGGGCACTAGGAGGGGGCGGGGCAAACAGCACCACTTCAGAATGTTCCAGGTGCATGATGTGTGAGCACCGGAGGTGAAAGCAAGCCAGAGTGGGGCCAGGGTGAATGTGTCCAGCCCAGCGAGGTCGAGAGGGGGCAGCAGGATAGAGGAGGACTCAAACCGTGATCACACACATTCTCCATTTTCATTAGAGTATTTTTGTGCTGGTGCTGAGGCTTGAATTCAGGGCTTTGTGCTCTCATTTGGTTTGTTTCACTCAAGGCTGGTGGTCTAGCTTGAGTCACAGCTCTATTTCCAACTCTTTGCTGATAAATTGGAAAAAAGTCACAGATTTTGCTGGCCAAACTGGCTTCGAACCCCAATCCACAGACCTCAGCCTCCTCAGGCATGATTACAGCACCCAGCACCATTAATTAGTTCTTTTTTGGTTGATTTGTGCGCAGGTAATGGAGCTTGAACTCAGACCCTGGGTGCTGTCCCAACTATTTTATTCACGGGTAGTGCTCTACTACTTAAGCCACCGTTCTACTTTTGGATTTGTGTTGGTTAACTAGAGATAAGAATTTCACAGACTTTCCTGCACAGACTGGCTTCAAACTGGGCTCCTCAGATCTCAGCCTCCTTAAGTAGCTAGGTTTACCTGGGCCCATGATTTTCTCAGTATCACTTGGGATTTCCTGACCTTTCTGCCTTCCCAATTCAAGTGGACAGGGAGAAGGTAGATTGTCCTGTGTCAGGAGGATTAACTCCCCAGCCAAGGAGGATCAAGACCAAGGACTGTTTTCTGCTGATTCCTACCTATTGTTTCTGGGTTTCCTGAAGAAAAAGTCTGGGTAAATTCGGGTCTTATCGTACCCGTGGAGGAGTGCTAGGAGGGGTTCCTTATAAATATCCATTCTAACTCAAGACCTGCACACCCAGAATTGGGAGGAGAGGGAGAATGGCTCAAATGGTAGAGCTCTTACCTTGAGCGAGAAAGCAAGCAAGGGCTGGGAAGGTGGCTCAGTGGTAGAGCTTGCCTCGCACGCATGAGGCCCTGGGTTCCATTCCTCAGCACCACATAAACCGAAAAAGCTGGAAGTGGTGCTGTGGCTCGAGTGGTAGAGCGCTAGCCTTGAGCTGAAGAGCTCATGGATAGCGCCCAGGCCCAGAGTTCAAGCCCCACGACCAACCAAAAAAAAAAAAAAGCCAACCAAAAGCATGAGACCCTGAGTTCAAGCCCCAGGAGCAGCAAACACATGTACACACACACACACACACACACACACACGAAAAGACCTCCATACACTTCTTAACACCCAGATCACACTTCCCTCTGGCCCTGTGGCTGGCCCTGCCCATCTCTATTGTTTGCAAAGACCTTTCGCTTTGTTTCCCTATGCACCCACAAACTGGTCTACAAACTGTCTCCTAGACTCAAGACTCCTGGGGCAGCTCAGGAGGCTCAGGGTCCTTGCTCTAGAGGTGCCTGTGACATCAGCAGCTACCCACAGCCTCCCCTGTGACCTCACGGCCCAGAGAGCCCAGCCCGGCAGAGCTTCAGCCACTCCTTGCACCATCAAAAGTGGCAGGGGGCATACATGACCACCCAGCCCCCAGAAGAGGCTGAGGCCACTAACAACTCCCCCTATGGCCCTCCCTGTGCCTGGCTGGACAACCAGGCTGACTACAGCCCTGAGGAGTACTTGGTATTAGACCCCGTCCCTGACGATGTCTTAGAGGAAACACGCCCGGAAGCCAACGCCCAGGAAGAAGATGAAGACCAGGCCTCCCTGGAGGAGTCCACCTGCAAGGCCAAGCCAACCTCTGGGGACCAAAACCAGGGAGACGCTGGGGGCGGCCACAGCCAGGAGAACCTAGAAGAGACCACGGCGATCTTGTCCACAAACCGGAACTTGTTCGTGGGTTTCCAGAACCCAGTGTGGGACATGCTGGCTGAAAACACCCGGAAAATAAGAAGCCGCACTCTGTCCCCCAACGGCTCCCAGACAGAGGACAAAGCCCCGGAGACGGAGGACAAAGCCCCAGAGATGGAGGGCAAAGCTCCGGAGACGGAGGACAAAGCCCCGGAGATGGAGGACAAAGCCCCAGAGATGGAGGACAAAGCCCCGGAGACGGTGGACGTTCCTGAGGGCCTGGCAGAAGCAGATCCAGCGACCCCAGAAGCGGAGGCCCCGTCGGTCCAGCCCTCCGGGGGTGCTGCTGACCCGTGCTCACCCCACACCAGCGGTTCGGAGAGCGGGGAGGACGCCAAGGCCTCCAACTCGGAAGTGGAGGCGTGCCCGCAGGAGCTCACGGCGGGGCCGCAGGAGGTCATGGAGGGGCCGCAAGAGGTCAAGGAGGGGCCGCAAGAGGTCAAGGAGGGGCCGCAGGAGGTCACAGCAGGGCCACAGGTCACGGAGGGGCCGCAGGTCACGGCGGGGAAGGACATAGTCATTTTCACCAGGGACCTGCCGGCCTGGCCTTTCCCTCCGACCCCGACGTGCAGCGCCCCATCCTCGCCAGGCCTGGAGCAGGCGTCCCGGGGGAGGCGACCCCTGAACCCCAGCATGTACGGGACGGACGAGGAGAACAACTACATGCGCTCCATGACCAGCCTGCTGGGCGGCGGCGAGAGCAGCATCAGCTCGCTGGCCGACATCCTGGTGTGGTCCGACAGCTCGGTGGGCATCGGCATGGGCATGGCCACGGCCCTGCTGGCCTCGGGGCGCAGCAACCCGGCCGACCTGCTGTACGGCGCGGGGCCCGGCCTGCGCACCATGTCCAGCATCCTGAGCAGCGCCAGCTCCGTCATCTCCTCCGGCCTGGCCTCGGGGACCAGCCTGGCCGTGCGCTCGCTCACGCACGCGCTGGAGTCGGTGGAGCGCCGGACCGTGGAGGGCATCCGCTCGGCCGTGCGCTTCCTGACCAATCGCCTGACCCCGCGCTGGGCGCAGGCGGGGCCGGACGCTGACTGACAGCCGCGAAGCCCTGGCCGGCCCCGCCCCCCGCCCCCCTGCCCGGCCTGGCTTTAGCTCTGCTCCACCCCGCGCCTAGATGGCGCCCTGCCCACCAGTAAATTAACACAAGCGTTTATTTTCTAAGCGCCGCCTCATCCCTTTTCCGTGCCGTGGGTACCGCGTGCGCGCCCAGAATGTTCTGGAAACGGAATTGTCCCCGAGAGCTCCTTGGGGTGACTCAGAAGCTTGCCAGTTGTGGGCAAAGAGAGAGAGAAAGAGGAGAGCACATCTGGGGCTGGGGACATCCCCCCCCCCCCCAGGCCTGGAATGGAGCAGGTGCGTCAGACCCGCAAAACCCAGTCGAGCCCGCGCCAGTGGCTCGCGCCTGTACCTAGCTGAGATCTGAGGATCACGGTTCAAAGCCAGCCCCGGGCAGACAAATCCAAGAGACTCAGCTCCAATAACAACAACAAAAAAAGCTGGAAGTGGAGGTGTGGCTCAAGCGGCGGAGGGAAAGAGGTCTCACTAGCTCCCGTTCCCACCAACCACCGAGGAGGATTCCTCCCCCACATCCCCACCAGCATCTGTTGTTATTTTATTGATGGCTGCTACTCCTGCTAGAGAGATGTGGGTCTTGGTGTGGTTTCAATTTGCATTCCTTGATGACTACAGATGGTGAACATTTCTTCAGGTATCTATTAGCCATTTGTACTTTGGAGTTCTTTCTGTTCAATTTCTTTGCCCACATATTTCTTGGATTATTGATTCTTTTGTGGTTAAGTTTTTGAGCTCTTTGTATATTCTGAGTATTAATGGCTGGCAACATTTTTTCTCCCATTCTATGAGTTGCTCTTGGTTCTGGTAGTTGTTTCTTTTGCTGTGGAGAAGGGTTTTTGTTGTTGCTGCTGTTGTTTTCTTTTTGCCAATCCAGGGCTTGAGTGCTGTCCCAGAGCCTCTTGTTAGTCAAGGCTAGCACTCTACCACTTGAGGCACAGCACCACTTCCCACTTTCTGAATAGTTACTGGAGATGAGAGTCTCAGTGAAGTGGACACCAGTGGCTCACGCCTGTAATCCTAGCTACTCAGGAGGTTGAGAGCTGAGGATCAAGATTCAAAGCCAACCTGGAAGGAAAGTCTGTGAGACTTGGTTTTGTTTTGTCGGTCATAGGGCTTGAACTCACGGTCTGAGAGCTGTCACTAAGCTCCTTTTTGCTCAAGGGTAGTTCTGTACCACTTTCAGCCACAGGCCACTTCAGGTTTTCTGTCAGTTAATTGGAGATAAGAATCTCATGGTAAGCAGGGTGCCCCTGGCTCTCACCTGTAATCCTAGCTATTCAGGAGGCTGAGATCTGAGGATCCAGGTTCAAAGCCAGCCCCGGCAGGAACATCCATGAGACTCATCTCCAATAAACAACTAGAAAACCGGAAGTGGTGCTGTGGCTCAAGCAGTAGAGCGCTCCCCTTGAGCTGAAGAGCTAAGGGACAGCACCTAAGTCCAGAGTTCAATCTCTGCAACCAACCAAAAAAAAAAAAAAAAATCTCATGGTAGCAAGGTGCTGGTGGCTCCTGCCAGTAATCCAAACTACTCAGGAGGCTGAGATCTGAGGATCATGGTTCAAAGCCAGCCCGGGCTGGATACTCTGTGAGAGTCTTCAGTTAACCACTAGAAAACGAAATGGCTCTGTGGCTTAAATAGTAGAGTGCTTGCCTTGAGCTGAAGAGCTCAGGGACAGTGCCCAGGCCCAGAGTTCAAGCCCCACAACCAACCAAAAAAAAAAAAAAAAATCTCATGGACTTTCCTGTCAGGGTTGACTTTGAACTGTGATTCTCAGATCTCAGCCTCTTGAGTAGCTAGGATTACAGGCATGAGCCACTGGTACCTGGGTGAAAAAGCTTTTTATTTTTTCGTGTGTGTGTGTGTGTGTGTGTGTGTGTGTGTGTGTGTGTGTGTGTGTGTGTGTATTTCCAGTCCTGAGGCTTGAATCTTCCCAGCCCCCAGAGAAGCTTTTTAATTTGATGAAATCCTATTTTGCCATTCTTGTTCTTTTTCTTTGTTTCTGGGAATTTGAAGTTCTATTCAGAAAATGATTGTTTATGCCTACATCGACCAAAGTTTCTCCTGTGTTTTCCTGTACTAGTCTCAGAGTTTTAGATCTGACAGATCTTTGACTCATGTGGAGGTTATTTGTACAAAATGAGAGATAGGGATCTAGTTTCAATTTCCCCCATCTAGAGAACCAATTTTCCTAGCACCACTGTGCTGTGTTTTTTACTCCTTTGTCAAAGATTTAGAGGGCTGTAGCTGTGTGGGTTTATTTCTGGTCTTCCATTTCTTCCTTTTATTTAGAGTTTGTGTTGAGAAATCTGTTGTTTTAGGAGTCTTTAACTCCTATTTCCTGTATGGAGCATGAAATGTTTCTCTAACCTGGCTCTTGAGCCATGTAGCTGGAGCCTGCTGTTTCGCTTCATGACGCTCTCTCCCCCAATCTCTACATATATATGTGTATATATATATATATACATATATACACATATATTTATATATACAAACATATATACACATATATGCATACACACACACACACACACACACACACACACACACACACACACACACACACACACACACACACATATATGTCTTGCTTTCCTATTTAAAAAATCTGTTATTCTAATGGGCTTGCCATTGAATGTGAGTTGTCACTTCTCTTTGTTTTTTCCATTGTGGGGCTTGAACTTAAAGCCGATGCACTGTCCCTGAGCTTTTGTGCTCAAAGCTAGTGCTCTACCACTTTGGTTTTCTGGTGGTTTATTGGAGATGAGTCCCATAGGCTTTTCTATCAGGGCTGGCTTTGAACTATGATCCTCAGAGCCGAATCTCCTGAGTAGGAAGGATTATAGGTTTGAGCCACTGGCCCTCGGCTCAATTGAGTTTTTATTGAGATTATTGAGGTCTTCATTGCCGACATATCAATGTGATTTTTTTCAAACTTTCTACATCTATTGAACACCTTGCAGCCTTCTTTATGTCGCTCAATTGTTTGAATTCTTTTTAAGTTCAGTTAGTTGTTTGTATCCTCTTTTTTTTTTTTTTTGGGGGGGGGGGGGTCTGGTTGTAGGCCTGAACTCTGGGCCTGGGCGCTGTCCTTCAGCTCTTCAGCTCAAGGCTAGTGCTCTACCAATTGAGCCACAACGCCACTTCCGGCTTTTTTTTTTGCTTATGTGGTGCTGAGGAATCGAACCCAGGGCCTCATGCATGCAAGGCAAGCACTCTACCACTGAGCCACCTTCCCAGCCCCTTTATTTTTTATTATTGTGAAAATACTATACAGAGGGGTTACAATTACATGGGCAAGGTAATGACTGCATTTTTTTTTTTTTTTTGTCGGTTGTGGGGCTTGAGCTCTACCTGGGCGCTGTCCCTCAGCTCTTCAGCTCAAGGTGAGCGCTCTACCACTTCAGCTACAGCGCCACTTCTGGTTTTCTAGTGGTTTATTGGATATAGGAGTTTCACCGTCTTTCCTGCCTGGGCTGGCTTTGAACCATTATCCTCAGATCTCAGCCTCCTGAGTAGTTAGGATTACAGGCGTGAGCTGGCGCCTGGCATGAGTGCATTTCTTGTCAAGCATTGTTGCTTCCTCCTTTGTTTCCCCTTACCATCCCTTCCAATCTTCCCCCCTCACCCCCCCCCCCTCCTCCTCCCCTTGTATCCTCTTTTTTTTTTAAATTTCTGTCAATCCTGGGCTTGAACTCTGGGCCTGGGCACTGTCCCGGAGCTTCTTTTGCTCAAGGCTAACACTCTATCACTTGAGCCACAGTGCCAGTCCCGGCTTTTTCTATTTATGTGTATTGAGGAATTGAACCCAGGGCTTCATGCATGCTAGGCAAGCACTCACCACTAAGCCACGTTCCCAGCCCCTATCCTCTTTGAATTCATTCAGCTGTTTAGACATCTGCTCTTATTTCGCTGATGATTCCTGTCACTTTTTTTTTTTTTTTTTATGATTTGTTATCTAAACTCCTTTGTCTTCACTTAGACCTAAGTACTTTATTGTGCAGTTGGCTTGTGAGAAAAACATGTTGCCTTGTTTCTTTATTAATTTTGTGGTTTTTGTTTTCTACTGTGATTTATACACCTGAGGCCTAGTTTCTAGGTGGAGGTTTCAATCTCCGGGATTCTTTGTGTGTGTGTGCCAGTACTGAGGCTTGAACTCAGGACTGGGCACTGTCCCTGACCTTTTTTTGCCAGTCCTGGGCTTGAACTCTGGGCCTGGGTGCTGTCCCTGAGCTGCTTTTGCTCAAGGCTAGCGCTCTACCACTTGAGCCATAGCGACACTTCTGGCTTTTTCTATTGATGTGGTACTGAGGAATTGAACCCAGGGCTTTATGCATGCTAGGCAAAGCACTCTACCACTAAGCCACATTCCCAGCCCATGACCTTCTTTTAGGCTTGCACTCTACCATTTGAGCCACAGCTCCACTTCCAGCTTTTTTTTTTTTTTTTGGGTGGTTAATTAGAGAAGAATTTTACTGCCCGGCCTGGCCTCAAACCACAATCCTCAAATCTCAGCCTCCTGAGATGAACCAGTGGCTCTGGCATGAGCTACTGGATGCACCAGGCTCCCTGGGTTCTTCAGAGATTATTAAGCCTCCGGAGTGGCTGGGTTGTGATCTATTTTCCTGTTGCCAGATCGGTGGGGTGTGACTCAGTAGTCAAACATTCACTGAAGACACCTCCTTCACTCAGGACGAAGACACGCGTGACAGCCAACCTATGGCCCTTGATGAACTCAGCCTTGTATTTGTGGCACTCCCTCATGAAGAGCAGTCACCACTGCTGCTTCAGTGTCCTGAGATGACCATACAAGCAGAGATGGAGCTTTGTGCTCTCCAAAGACCTCAATAGGGCTGGGAAGGTGGCTCAGTGGTACAGTGCTTGCTTTGCATGCATGAGGCCCTGGGTTTGATTCCTCCACACCACATAAGTAGAAAAAGCCAGAAGTGGTGCTGTGGCTCAA